CACCTGCCTCTTTTGTCTGGTGCCACCGGGCTGAAAACGGGTGAGCGGGGTCCCCAAGCTTTTCGCCGCGTTGTTAGTGGAGCCGGAGAGCCGGGGCAGAGGAGCTGGGCGAGGTGTTTGTCATTGTCAGAACTGGCCGCGGAGCGAGGACCAAGTCTGCGCCCAGAAGGAGTGGCCGGGCCAGGCCTCTTATTGTGTGTGCTTTCCCGTGTGCGGGAGGGTGGTGCGTGCTTGAGGATGAGGCGGTCGGTGCGTGGTGGGTGGCCGCAGTGTGGGTGTTGCAAGTACCTTTGCAGGGTCTCAAGTTCCTTCGGGGACAGCGAGGCTGCCTCATGTACAGATTAGTACCTGCAGTGCTAAAAGCCTGCGGAGAAGAAATGGCATTTTCCTCCTAGTGGGAGCGCACGCACAACCCCGCAATGCCCCACAAAAGAGGCTGCTTTTGAAAACCAGGTTTGCTCGGAATCGCTGCTGGATTTGGCCAGGAGATGCTTGTAAGGAGTTGGAGTAGATGAAAGGTTTCATTCAGACCGGCTTCCTCTCTCCGCACTTGTGATTGTGTGTCCAGATTATGGTGCACACGCGTTCAGTGGCCACACTGCAGGGTGTTCCGTGAATATGTTTTATGAATGTTTCTAAATATATCTCTTTTCGATGGGAAAGTAGGACAGGGTTTTAAGTATGAACTATCACAGAAATGCGGGTCAGAAAGGATTTTGAGGGAGGTTATATACAGGGACATTGTAAAAGATATGCACGCATCCTGTGCCATCTGTGTCCAGGGTGGTGCGTGCACTCTGAACGTGTGAGCCTTATACTCCATGCCTGTCCATCCACCTACATCCTAGTCCCACTGGCAAAACGGGCCTTGGGGCCTCCAGATCCAGCATCTATTTAGATGTGGTAGCGTTTATGCCCAATTATTTCTTGGGGTGTGTGTGTGTCTGTGGAATCTCTAAAACAGGAACTCCTGTGCTCATCCAGAGAAGGATGAACACAGAGGTTCCTCAAAATGGTGAGAATTCCCACAGAGAACAATCGAAGACGCTGATTTCTTGGTTTGGCAGTGTTTATAGGAAAATCTCCAATAAGAGCCAGACCGAGTCTTCCCCACCCAAGTGTCTGTGTGCTCTGTGGCTAAGGCTCCTTTCTTGGTTCCAGGACGCATGTGTGCCAAGGCCCTTAGTCACCTATGGTCTGTGAACACGTGGCTGTGCGCCTTAGCCGGCTTCCTAGCAGAAAGTGGGGACCTATGGAAGCCCAGTGCATCTTCTTCAAGGGCTCTTGGTTCAGATACATGACTAAGCCAATGGAATCGCTGAGCCAGGCAAGCAAAGGGAAAAACACCTATTCTGATGCTGCAAATAATACCTGGAACATGAGGGTGTGTAGTGTGGTTTTTGACAGTCATTTCATGGCAGCTGTGGCCTTAGAATAATTTCACTTTGAATGTGGTTTTTCTTTGTCACCAACATCATTACCTACTTTTGGGCAGGCTCAGTGAAGGAAGGTAAAAGATGTGGTCCCTGCCTGGGTTGAACATATGATCTAGTTTGGGGAATTTTCAAAGAAAATAAAACAAAATCCACTTGTCTCTATTTTAAATTGATCTTTTTTTTTTTCTCACTTGGTGTGGAATTCTTGGTTCTAGAAGCCTGTCCCCTCAAGGGAATTCCAACAATTGCTGAATTATTTGGTCTTTGCAAATTATGAATCAGCATGAGCCCTTTGGAACTAGATTTGCACTCCGGTGGCACAATTGTTCCCTCCTTTGCTAAGGTCTGGCTTGTTTTTTTGGTTTGTATAGATTTGGGAGGAAGCCCCTAGGGTTAGAAGAATGGGTACTACCTTTAAAATAAAGCAAAACCTTCAACAGCCAATCTGGCCTTTTTAATTGATGGAGTTTGAAGAGCTTAGTGAGATGGCACAGATACTTAAGTACTGGCGGTGTCATCCCCCAAAACACATACCCCTTTTGGAAGACAAAAGAGCTCCTTTTAAAAACAAATAAATAAAAAGCATAGGAGCAGTTAGATGTCATGGGCAACATATTGGTTCTGTTACTCAATTCATAGCTGTCTGAAGGATTGGATATCAACTGATAATTGTTATGAATTTACCTAACTTCAAAATCAATGAAACCATTTCCTACCTACCTATATACGGTATACTTTTTTTCTGGAAAGTGCAAATTGAGACTATTATTAGTTGTTAAGTGGCAGGAGGTAGTTTTCATGTTTGGAGGAAAAAAATACGTTGAACTAATAATGCCTCCAGATTTACGTCTCACTCCTCCGCCCCCTCCCCCATCAGGGTCAACAGGTGACGACACTGGAGGCCTGGTGACCACTGCCTGGTCTCCCTGCAGCAAGGTCTTCACCAGAGGTGAAGGTCACAGAGCTAGTTAGGAGTGAGGCTTTAAAAACCCTACTTTTCGAGCAAGGAGGGGCCAGTCTTGGGGGCGGGGGAAGTGGGGTGCGGGCTAGGCCTCTAGGACACGGTGCTCGGGTCTGAAAGGAGGGAGGGCCATCCTGAGAGTCAGTTGGAGTGAAAATGGGTTCAAGTCCCAAGGCCCTCAGTTATGACTTCGGGACCCTGGCATATCCTTACCCTCAGTCACAATAATGTTACGTCCTTCTTTGGCTTGTCATGGGGTTTAGAAGAGAATTGTTAGCATGTTACACAACAATTGATCACTGCATAATAGTGTCAGGCACATTACAGACATTCAATAAACGCGAGCCTTTCCCGCTTCATTCATTTCAGGCGTGCATAGGCTCTAGCCATGCATGAAGCTTTGGAGCATGAATTTTTAGCCACTTTGAGTGGATTAGAGGTCAGTTTACTGAGGGGAAGGAAATGTCAAGGAGGCTTGGTGGTAACTTCAGTTGGTTTGGACTGACCCTCAGAAAGGTGACATCATCCTTGGGGTGGGATTTGGGGGGCACTCATAAGGTTCTTGCCCCCACTTTTCCATTTCCCTCATATTCTATTTCTACATGACTGAATTTTCTCATTAAAACATCTTCCATTCAAATGCTGAGGCTTTCCCACTTTCTAGATTGTCCTGTTCAAACACAGATCCCCTGCAAGGGCCAACAGCACAAGCCTTTATCAACCCCTGAGCAAGGATGAGTTGATCCCAGCAGCAGCCTGCTGATGGTTGAGCTCCACAGAAAGTCAGATGGGGACGGTGGGGGTGCAGGGGTCCCTTTCAGAAGGTCGCGAGGTGGAAATCAGGAGGGCTCACCAGGAGCCTCCCTTACCAGAAGGGGGAGATCCTGTTCCTACCAGTTCTTTCTGTGACAGAGTTAGGAATGCAACAGCAGATTTATTAATAAAAAACATTAATGCTTATCACAGGCTAGACCCTACCCTAAGTGCTTCATGCATGTTAACGTATTTAATAGCTAACATTGACTTTGAAGTAGA